CGTACAAGTGAACAAATTCATACAAGTCAACTTCTTCGTACAAGCAAACTTCTTGATTTTAAAAATCTTCCACGGCCGAAATTGAGATGAATTTGACAACTCCAGAGCAAAATCTTAATCAAGGTAAATAAAACATATACGAAATTCTATTAGCCAAAATTTTTTCTTCTCCTTAAGGTCAATTAGAAATATTCTAAAATCCTCTACTTTTACCTTGCTATTTCGAAAAACTTCGTGTAATGAAATTCTACTGTACTCTTCAGAATTCTGAGAATTTTTTTAACCCTAAAGTAAATGCACGTTGAATTTCATTGTACAAACAAACCCATAAATTATGGCACAAAGAGTAAATTTACACTGAGAAACAAAACAAATAACAGGTTTTATAGCGTAAAAGATATGTTTCCATAAAAATTATATAAAGATTGTTATTAAAATCGAAAGTAAAAAACTTGGAGCATACAAACGATATTTAATCTTTAATTTAAATATTGAATAAAGATCTCTATTTATGAGAGGAAAAAAATATTTTTTTCTTCCAACAGTTATTGCGTTGCATTTTATTTATGGCTAATTACTGTATTAATAATTCTAAATTATACAGTACAGTACAGTATTCTGATTATAGTACAGTATTCTTGTATTCGATAGGAAATCACATCAATTTTCCTATTTAAGGTGATTATTTTACTTATTATAGTAAATGTTACATTAAGAAAAAAGTACAGTACTCAGTACAGTACAGTAATATAATTGATATCTCTTTAAGAACCAATAAAAGTACTTACAGTACCAACTTACAAAGAAAAAATTTTGATTGGTAAGACATTTATATTTTTATCTTATTGAATTATAAAATAATTTTACTGTTACTTTAAATTAGAACTTTTCAAATTAATTATTCTATGCAGTATTTAAGAGTCTGTTCATTTTTCATTTGCTAACGCCCCTTCAGACTTTTCCCAAAATTTCTATATACTGTTGGTGCAATTAAATATGGTTTTTAATTGAAGGTAAAATTCAACCATTGAACTATAAAGGCTCTATTTATTACCAAAGTCACAATCTACAATACATAGACATACTTCTTATAGTATATTAATAAATAAAAAAAAGTAGAAATAAACAAAAAAACAGTTGATTTAACTATACTAAAGATTGCTAACATCTTTAACTCTTGCTACTGTATCTCACAATATTGTGATCCTCTTCGCATATAATAATAATATATACACGGTAGGTTTAAATACTGCGTTTCGAATAATTAGTTTGTTTTTTACTTCTTTATTAATATCTATGACGTAGTTAACCATAAAATACCTATATCTAATCTGTTAAAAATGTAATCAACAGTTGTCCGTTGTTCAGGTAGTGTACAGTATTCCAACAATCTCGATAGATTTGAACAAAAGACAAAGGTGTCCCGGATACTGGTTCTTCGAGTCTGCCGTTCAAAATATCGACAATAATAGAACTCGGACCTTTATTATTAAATGGAGGATAGCAACTTGAAATTTCCCAGAAAATAACACCAAGACTATAAAAATCGGATTTAGAATCCATCTTATAAGCTAGATTTTGAAATTTCTGCGGGTCAATGAAAGCTAGAACTCCGCACAATTTTTTTTCGGTCGTCATTGTGCTGTTAAAATTTTTAGATAATCCAAAATCTGCGATTTTAACGTCTACTTGATGAATCAAGATATTTTTAGTATGCTAAAATAAAAATGTATATTTAATACGCGTATTGTAACATTATAACTTTCAAGTAGACATTACCAAATCACGGTGAGCACCGTTTATTTCATTATGAAGATATGACAATCCCTCGGTAATCTGACTTACTTGCAAGCCTTATCTTATCAAGCCATGAGATGTAATCTCTATTTCTGGTCATATATTCTCTTAAGTTCCCATCATCTGCAAGTTCCATGAGAAGGAAGTAAAGATCGTCTTTTGTATCTAAAAATATGGGAATTAACAAATACGCATAATACATGCTAATGCATTATCGTATCATAACTTGACATTCTTACCATAACACAATCCAAAAAATTCGATAATTTTTGGATGATTTGCAATAGAATGCAATTTTAGCTAGAATGCATATATTCATCTTTAGTGAATCTGGATTTCAAAAACTTTCAATTTTTTGATAGTGCATACATATACATACTTTACTAAGGAAACTTTAATAGACATACTGTCATCTTCTAAATAAACAGATATTTCTTTCATCGCCAACTCTTTTCCATTTCTATTTAATATGCCTTTATAAACAAACCCAGATCCAACACGATCAATTCTTTTTCCTTTAGTGATCTCATTAAAAGAAATTTCTTTAATTTTAAATTTTTCTATCGCGTCTTGTACCAAACTTTTTTATATTGAATTGATTTTTAATGTAGTTGGTAGTCGAATGAAATATTCTGTAGACGGCAAAAAAAATATTTACAGAATACAAATTAAGAAAATAGCCTATATTTAACTTGCATTCTATAAAGGAAACAATTGACTCTAATTTCATATAATTTTACAGAGCAAGCAACAAAATATCATGAATTTAACTCACGTTCTACAAAAGTAAGCGATTTAGTAATAAAATCCAATTTAATATGATTTTACGAAGCAAATAACAAAAATATTCTATATTAAACTTACTTTCTATAAAGTTAACGGTTAAATAATCAATTTTAATTCTTGCAATTTTTAAGAAGTAAATAATAAAAATATACTGACTCGTTATAAAGTTAACAATTTAATTATTATATCTAATTTTATATTATTTACGATGTAAATAATGAAAATATTCTGAATTTAGTTTACCTTCTACTATATAAAAGTTAACAATTTAACTATCAATCACACGACTTTTCACATGAATTTTTAAGTTATAATAAAAAAATTTTTTTTACTTAATAATTTAATATAAACTTTGATTATTTTTTTTTAATTTGATAGAAGATATGATAGAGAATAACTTTATTCATACCCCTAACTCAATATCCTTAAACTCATAAACTTTACCTAGAAGCAAATGAAAATTTCATAGTAAACCTTTAAAATTTAAAATAAATGTAGATCCTTTTCACTGAGTCAAAATTTAAAAGTTTATTATGAAAATTTCACTTGCTTCTAGATAAACTTCATGAGTTTAAGAAATATTGAATTGAAGGTATGAGTAAAGTTATTTTCTATCATATCTTCTAATCATATTAAAAAAAATATTCAAAGCTTATAATATAAGCAAATGAAGAATAATTTGAGTTTTAAAGTTTATATTAAATTACTAAATAAAAAAATTTTTTTATTATAACAAAAATTTATACCTAAAATTTGTGTGAAAAGTCATGTGACTGCTGTTAAATCTAATTTCATATGATTTTATGAAGTAAATAACAAAAATATCCTGGATTTAACTTACCTTCTATAAAAACATTTGAATCTAATTTCATATAATTTTATGAAGCAAATATACTTAATTTAACTTACCCACTATAAGTTAACAATTAAGCAATTAATTCTAATTTAATATGATTTTACGAAGCAAGTAACAAAAATATCCTATATTTAACTTACGTTCTATAATAATTAATGATTAAGCAGTTAATTAGAATTTTATGTTATTTTACAAAGAAATAACTAAACTATCCTATAATTAATTTACCTTCTATAAAGTTAATGGGTAAACAATTAATTCTAATTTATGATTTCACGATGAAATAACAAAAATATTCTAGATTTAACTTACTTTCTATAAAGCTAACGATTAAATAGTTACTTTTAATTTCTTGTGATTTAAGAAGTAAATGATAAAAATATACTGAATCTAACTTACTCGCTATAAAAATTAATAATTTAACTATTAAATCTAATTTCATATAATTACGAAGTAAATAACAAAAATATTATAGATTTGACTTACCACCTAAAAAGTTAATTATTAAGCAATTAATTCTAATGCATACGATTTTACGAAGCAAGTAATCAAAATATTATGGAAATAACTTACGTTGTATAAAAGTTCACAATTAAGAGATTAATTCTAATTTCATATAATATTATAAGGCAAGCTACTAAAATATCCTAGATTTAACTTACCACCTATAAAAGTTTACAATTTAAGTAATCAATTCTAATTTATATGAGATTACAAAGCAAATAAAAGTTAACTATTATGCGATAAATTCTAGTTCATATTATTTTACAATGCAAATAATAAAAATTTTCTAGATTTAACTTATCTTCTACAAGGAATAATATTAATATAATTAAATTTTATTTATATGATTTACGAAACAAATAACGATATATTCTGTAATTAACTTAACCCTCTATAATCAATACAATTTGATGTCATTTGAGATAATTTTTTACGAAAAAAAACGAAATATCTCAGATTCAATTCACCTATAATAATAAATGATAAAAACAATTAAATCTTATTTCGTAATATTTTATGACAATAAAATTTCCTGGATTTTACTTACAAACTATAAAAGGTTGTCAATTGATACAATTAAATCTCATCTCAAAGATTTACTAAGCTAATAATGAAAATATCTTAACTTCGACTTACTTCCTATTAAATTGACAATTAATACAGTGAATCTCGTTCATAAGATTTTATAACACAAATGATTAAAATGTCAAATTTTAATTACCATCTACAAGGATTTTAAACATTAAAAAATATTTAATAATTTAATAATCTTTTGTAGCTATTAAACAGCTTACCTTTTGCATCTTCTGAATTCATGGTGTCGATTTTATTCAAAGAAAAAAAAATGATATAAAAATGGCAGAGAAGTTTTACCAAAATAAGTGACAAAGTGGCTGCTCTCTGTATGACATTTTTACATGCTTGTGCAGCACACTTGCATCAGCATTTTTCATTTTTTTTGAGTGAAATTTCCGTACAGTAATAATTATACAGTACACACCTTGTGTTCCGATAACACGTTCATCGATTTTGGCACCCATGGAAGTAAATGCAAGTATAGAATTATAAATACGAATCTTTTTCGAAAATCATGTGCTTGCGGACTTTCTTCTGTGAGAAGCATTTCTAATAATTCAGGTGGTGAAGCAATGGCAGGTGGTTTCACCTTGCCTTTTGCACAACAGGTGCTGAAAATTGGAGCATGTCGAGATCCTGCTACTTTCTCATCTATCCAATGTAATGCTTTGCATTCCGGGCATTCAATACTCATACTTCCAATACAGTAATTTGTCTTGTGTTTTATTGCAATCTAGGATCTTTTTTTATATATTTAGTAAAAAAACCCATCTTTTTAATTAAAAAAAATGCATTAAAAACTTATATTTAAATCGATTTGTACTACCTAATTAAACTATTTGACAATCTTTTTGTTATCTACAGTATATGGTTTATTACTTCAAGTATTATTTAATGAGTCACGGTAAGCTATACCAGATCACATAATACTTGATAGGAAATACAATAAATCTCGCATATAAAACATATAAGAATCTATGTTTACATTATTGTTATTTACATGTCTCTTATCATAAGTTTATTTTCGGAAAATCCCCTAAAGGCGTCTGTTATTTTTTAATAATTAACTTAAGTTGTTGGCTGTCTATAGTATATAATAAGCGTTAATTTGATATATGCCAAAATATATAATAATAATAATAATAATAAAGCAATAATACATATATTATTTATCGTAGCAATATGATTTGATATAAGGAATGAATTCACTTGTATGGATTGTTTTAGTGTATGTTTGTACATGCGGATTTTCCTTATATTCCGATGTTTTATCAAGCTCGATTAATTCCGTTGTAACTTTTTCATCACTTTGCCATTCCGTAAAAGTTCTGCAAATTTCTTCGGCAAGTGGCCGATTCTTTGGATTTCCATCACAACACCTTTTCATAATATCTATATAACACTGTGGCGTGCCTTCAATAATATTTGGTCGATATCCATTGCATACATCAATTTGAAATTGAACTCTAGATTTTTGGTTAAAAGAAACAGCTCTTCCAGAAGAAACTTCCCACATAACTATGGCAAATGAGTAAATATCTGCTGTCAAGGTATAAGGATTACCACAAAAAACTTCAGGTGCAATGTATGGTAAAATCCCGTAAACTCCTTTAGATTCTTTATCTGTCGACATTGAAAGACCTAAATCTGCGATATATGCACTATATAAATTGTCTAATAGTATATTGCCACTATGTAAATCTCGGTGAATAAGATTCTGTGAATGAATTATTTGAAGATCTGACGCAATGCTGATTAGTAATTTTAATTTATCTTTCCATCTAATTTGTAATATTGAAGGAAAATTATTACGCAAAGAATCCAGTCTTGCATATAGTTAGTAATAAGTATATAATCGTTAGAGGCTTCGTCTCTAGATACTCCATAACATTTTAAAAATGTAGGATTTCTATAACCAATATCGCAATACGCCTTTAGCTTTAATGAAAGAAAAGGGCAAGTGAATTTAAAATCCAATAAACTATAAGTATCTAAATAAAAATTACCTCATTTATAAACTCCTTGTGACTATCTCTCGATCCGTGAAATAATTTAAGCGCGACACCTCTATCACCCAAAAGGGCATAAAAAACTGTTGCAGATCCTCCTTTTCCCACCTTCGTAATACATTTGAATTCCTTGTAAGGAAACCAATGCAATGGATATTTGATTACTGAAAGCATTTTTTTAAGTTCATTATCAATATTTGAGTTTCTAAGTATTGATTCATTCGAAACTAAACGGATGATTATTATTAGATTCTGAATAAATAAGATAGTGATACAATAGTAATATCAACATATTTACCTAAGAACATATTTCTCTCCCTAATAATTTACATATCGTTGTTAATTCACAGTAACCATAATGATAAATTAAATGATTTACAGTACATACATTTGATACCAATATATAGCCATTTGTAAGTTCCGTGTAATTCCAATTCCATTTCTATAAAATCCAGCAACCACAAACATTCCATTTGCATTACCCATCTCGGCTGATTTTAAATAATATTTAAATGCTTTATATTCGTCCTTTTCAACTCCAATTCCTTCATAATAACAATTGCCAACCCGAAATAGGCCGTTATAATCTCCCATATTTATTGATTTTAAATAATATTCGAAGGCTTTATATTGTAACACGGGAAAAAGTAACGCACCTCACACTGAATTCTGGGTTCCCCACAATATTGGGAAGAAAATAGCGGTGTCAAACACAATAAGAGTGATAGAAACTAGCGCGAACCTGAGAAGATGGGAACTGTTAGAAGGAAGTCGGATCACGACACAATCGCAACGATTGCCACGTGACTGGGTCGTGCAAGGATCAATCATGGCACTATGGGATCGAACAATAGAATTATGTAATAAGAATAGCGTGAAAATCAAATAGCGATTACTTCGTCATGAGAATTTTTAATAGTTTTCCTTAATTTGTATTTATCATTTTTATTATGTAATAAGTGTGCAAGAATGTATAAAAGAAGGAAGAAATGAAATAAAGGAAGCCAAGTTATTTTTTCTCGGCCATAATCAATTCCGCCTCACCATAAACCCTTACTATCGTTACGCGAATTTAACTTCCCATTAGCGACAGACTCGCCGATCACCGTTACAATATTCATCCTTCTCAACTCCGATTCCTTTACTATAATAATAGCCAACCTGAAATAAGCCATTAGAATTTCCCATATCGGCTGATTTTTGATAATATTCGAATGCTTTATGTTCATATTTTTCAACTCCAATTCCGTCTCTATAACAACAACCAACTTGATATATACCACAAGAATAACTAATTTCCGCTGACTTTTGATAATATTCAAATGCTTTATTTTTATCCCTTTTAACACCAATTCCATCTCGATAACAATAGCCAACTCGATATACACCACAAGAATCTCCTATCTCTGCTGATTTTTGATAATATTCGAATGCCTTATATTCATCCTTTTTAACTCCAATTCCATTTTGATAACAATAGCCAACCTGAAATACTCCGTTGTAATTTTTCATCTCGGCTGATTTTAAATAGTATTCAAATGCCTTATATTCATCCTTTTTAATTCCAACTCCTTCACTATAACAGTTGCCAACCTGAAATATGCCATTATAATCTTTCATGTCGGCTGATCTTTGGTAATATTCAAATGCTCTATATTCATTCTTTTCAACTCCAATTCCTTTATTATAACAATATCCAACCAGAAATACGCCATTAGAATTTCCCATATCGGCTGATTTTTGATAATATTCGAATGCTTTATGTTCATTCTTTTCAACTCCAATTCCATTTTGGTAACAACAACCAACCTGAAATACTCCATTAAAATTTCCCATATCAACTGATTTTTATAATATTCGAATGCTTTATGTTCATTCTTTTCAACTCCAATCCCATCTCGATAGCAATGGCCAACCCGATATGTGCCACAAGAATAACCCATCTCCGCCGATTTTTGATAATATTCGAATGCCTTACGTTCATCCTTTTTAACACCAATTCCTTCATCATAACAATAGCCAACATTATAGGTTCCATTTACATGACCCATCTCGGATGATTTTTGATAATATGTGAATGCCATACATTCATTCTTTTTAACTCCGATTCCTTTATCATAACAATAACCAACGTTATATGTTCCATTTACATGACCCATTTCAGCCGATTTTTGATAATATAAAAATGCATTATACACGTCCTTTTTAACTCCAATCCCATTTAAATAACAATAACCAACATTATATACTTCATCTATATGACCCATCTCTGCTAATTTTTGATAATGTTTGAATGCCTTACGTTCATCCTTTTCAATTCCATTTTCATTTTCATAAAAATGTCTAACGTTGAGATAAAAGCCAATAATATAGAATATATTATTGGAATTTCTCGGCTCATCCGATTTTTCATAATATTCGAGTGACTTGCGTATAGAGTTTAACAGTTCACTTTAGATGGGAGATGGTTCAGTTTAAATCAATTCAATACTGGCGATCACTCACAAAAAGGAATAGTGATATAATTTCCATATACGTACAACTGCTGAATGTTTTATAAAAGTGGTTGATCATGAGGACCAGTTTGAACATACCTTTAATTACATGCATGATCAGATCTTCTCCTTAATAAATAATGATATACCCATATTTGCTTTTAATCAAATCTAGAATAAATGGTTCTTAGAGTCAGCTTTAAAAATATTTTTGAGAATAAAAATTATACATACCGAGTATAGCAGTATGGAACGTACGTCCCTGCAAACCAACGTCAGTAGCTAGCTATAATTATGCCATAAAATTGTACCATAAAAATACGTTGTCAAAGATTGTTCGTTTTAAAATAAATGTATTACACAACTCTCACATCGAAGACCAAGTTAATCGTTTTGTATAATAAAGCCTAAACTAATTTAAGTATTACTAATATGCAGCACAATACATTCTATAATTAATTTCAGTATACTATCAAATATTACTTGCTTGAGCAGCCTGCACAAATGTCGTATTGTTGGTAATTTCTATTCCTCAAATACAAAAAATTGTTCCGTTTTATAAAAATGTGACAATGCCGTATAAGTGGGATCGTGTTGAACTGTTATTAATTTACTTGCGACGAAGTCAAAATATTTTTATCGTTGCACTAACACAAAAAAAAATAATAAATAATAACTCTCCTAATATTTATCTACAAAAGCGTGCCTTCTTGTCAATTGTTCCGGTGTATCACCATTTAAAATGATGCTTCTCATTTTAAATTATTAATATTAAATGTACATATATGTTGTGAAATTAATGTCTAGCAAAAGTATAGTAACATTCCTCATTAATCTACCAAATAAATAGAGAATAAATATATTAAGGCGGCTAATAACTAAGATAACACATAATGTAATATCAGTCGAGAATTAATTATTAGTTCTAATAAAATGCATCAGTTAAATAATAGATCACATCCATGACGATTAAATTGTGTTGAACAATTCTTGGTTGCGTTTCTGAAATAAATAAAAATAGGATGAGTAACTAAGCTTATATTAAATCGCCTATAATTAAGATCAGGAAAGTTTTTACGCGTTTTTATGATAACGTCTAATATTCAATGTATCTAAATTGTAATTTTATGATTATACCATTTATCAGGCTAACAATGAATGCCACCTAATTCTTTACTTTTATTTTACAT